AAACGACAGCAGAGAAACGACAGCAGAGAAACGACAGCAGAGAAACGACAGCAGAGAAACGACAGCAGAGAAACGACAGCAGAGAAACGACAGCAGAGAAACGACAGCAGAGAAATACTTCAATCCCAAGAAAAAATTGTCCCACGTCATCCCACAACAAAGATCACGTGCAAAATATCTCAATAATGCAAAATCCAGAACATTTCTTTGAGTACATTTTTTTGCAACTTGATGTTCTCAGTCTGATGGCCAGCATCATTCAACCCACTTTCTCTAAGCCTGGGTCATCCTGGAGCGGCCCCAGCCTGTGACTTGACAGTGAAAGAAGAAGCAGCACAGTGATGAGCTCATCTCTGGACCACTCTGCTTTCTCCTCCGATCAGCATGCTTCTTGTCAGCACATTAACTGATTTTTCTTCCTCTCATACTCCCGCCCTGCCGTACAGGAACGGAAAGAGGCTGATACCAAGTCAAATTCAGTTACTTACCCTGCTTGAATTTAAACAATACTGTACATTTATTGATATTTTAAGGATTTAAGGATGGGATCGGGAAGGATTTTTTTCCTCCTGTTAAAGCAAATTGAACCATGCTTTATAGGGGGATGGGTTTGTCTTCCTCTGGATCAACAGTGGGTTATTGTGGGCATAGAGTTCTGTTAAGGCTTTTTTTTTCATATCTCTGTAGGTTGAACTTTATGGGTCTTTTTTAAACCTGACTATCTATGTAACTATTATTAAAAAGCTGAATTAATTGGTGTATTTTTATATCTGCTTAGAGTTCAGCATTAAATGATCACAATTACCAAAATAGATCTATTTTCTTTTGCTATTTTCAAAAGTTATACTTACTAGTACAGTTTTGGATTACTTTTTATTCAAAGAACAACCACGTGTTTGCAGGAACATACACAGCCGAGCTGAATCAAGACCCCATATTGATGTGTTTAAAACATATTCACAAGGAAGTTGTAGAATGACAATAATTTATATTAAAACATGTTTTCCATTTTTCTGTGTTCATGCATTGCATCTAACACAGCTTGACCTACCTCTTGTAATGTTTGGCATACACTTTTAGTTTCCAGTATGGTGCGCACATGTTCTTTTATTTTGCGAAGTGCTATGTCAAGCTGTTGAGGTAGGGGTAGGCTGGAATCAGGTATATCTCCTGTAGCTTCCTCAAACTGACACACAAAGATAACAAGTTATTAAAAAAAGAAAACCAAGAAAAAAAACTCATTAAAGCAGTCTAAAAACATGATTGTAGATGAAGCAATCAAAGCAGGTACCTTCCGAGCAGTGGCGAGAACTTCGTGTTGTTGCTGCTCATACCTATCCAACTGACGTTCCAGTTCCACCTCTCTTTGATCCCAGACCATTTGACGTTCCTCATGAAACTGAAAGGATGAAAAAAAAAATTATATACTGTGTGCATGTATAATATATATATCTAATAAATAATACACATACACACAGACATTTGTGAACATGATTAGGGCATAATATGCTATATTATTTAATAAACGATTGTTTCCTGTGTGTTTCTAGTGATTAATGCAGTGCCAAGATCTCAGTAATCAGCCCTGACAAGCTGCTCACAGCACATGATGATTAACGGCACTCCTCTCCTTCACGTAGAAAACTGTCCCCTTCACTACAAAATTCTTTCTACTTCATATTGATACTTTTATATATAAACCCTTCATCACCATTGTTTGTTAAATGCCCAATCTTGCCTGGTGTAAAACAGAGATATATTTTCTAGTGTGGTAAATAAAATAATGGGACTGATAAATCTATTTTTTATAAACATCTCACAATATATTACTACAACTGATAATGCTAATAATAATAATAATATAAATATATAATTGAAAGAAAATTAATTCTATAGAATGTGAATTAGAGAGGTTGGTTGCAACGATATATTTAGAATTAATATAGCACAGGTAGCCAGGACCAGATTTACTCTCTCTGCTGCCCCAAGGCCAGGTTCCTCAATGCGCCCCCCTACCCACGGAGAGTGGCACACCTGCAGGCTGCATACAAGTGATCGCTGGGATCACTTGTACAAAACAAGCGGTGGCTTCCCCGCTGTACATTCAGCTCTGTTTGCCCAAAGTAGGGATAAATGTAGAAAACAACTACCCGCCCAGCGCCTGGAACTGCATGTCCCGGGCACCGGGAGATAGGAATTCTTCTTCACACCCCTGCTGCCGCTCTACTCGCTGCTGCCCGAGGCTGGGCCTTGGTTGGCCTTGTGGGTAATCCGGCCCTGCAGGTAGCAGTATATACAATCAAGTGAAAAATTACACCCTATGGAAATGTTTGACTTTTTCAACATATTTGAAATGGCAAACATTATATCTTCATTCAAATAGTGTCTACAGATAAAGGAGATATACTTGCACAAATGACACATACAATTGACATGGAGTATTCATTTTCATAATTTAAATTAACAAAAATGCAGATGTGTCATATGGATGAAATATGTACACCCTTAAATTTATCACCACTTCAAATCCATGACATTTTAATAAGATTAGGTACCAATGATTAGAACCTCCTTAGAGACTATGTAGGTGGACCCTATCTTATGTAAACCTCAGATATCTGGGGTCCGGTATTCTTTTTGCTATTGACGTGAGTGGTAGCATTATGCCAAGATAATAATCTGAAAACAATGATTCCACTGTAAAGAAAATAATCTGCAAGTGGCATAGCTTTCAAACAACTGATAATTTGTTCGGCACTGGCCAAATCAGCAATCCACCTGGGAATGGGTCAAAAATAAGAAACAAAGGGTTATGGACTGCCCATGTCAAAGTCCTGATCTGATTCCTTTTGAAAGTTTTTGAAATGGGCAGTTCATTCAAGGAAACAAACATCTTGCAACTGAAGGAATTCTGTATGGAGAAGCAGTCAAGAAATTCACAATGTTGATGTCAGAGACTGGTGGGCAGTTATACAAAATGCTTACAAGAAGTAATTTCTGCTACAACGGGCAATACTAGCCTTTGATGCCCAGGGTGTAGTTACTTTTTCCACAGTACACCACTACATCTATTAATATTTTTTTAAACAAATGATTGAAAAGGCATTTTTTTTTAATAGGTTCTTATTAAAGTATATCACATTTATCTGTAGGCACTGTTTGAACAAAGATCCATTGTTTGCCTATTCAAATATGTTGAAAATGTTAACAAATTCCACAGGGTTTACTTTTTAACATGATTGTTTTTGAAATTGATTTCTATTTATGACAGTCTTTACTTTGCCTTGTTGAACAATCTCTTCCTCCAGATTGGTAATTGTTCGCTCTTGCTCGGAGATGACATTATTCAAATATTTTATTTCTGCTTTCTTCTGATTTGACTCGCGAGTTAGCTTCAGGTCCTGAAGCCGCACTTCCTCTATTTTCTTGTGCCATTCTGTGACCTGTAGATATACATTTTCATTTTGTAACTGAAGCAGAGTAAAGTGTTAAACATAAACCTTGACAAAATTACTATATTAACGCAGAGAAATAATGCCTGAAAGGTGTGCATGCTGAGGCCTTTTATGCCTCCTCAATGTCATCTATATGGCTCTTCTATATTTCTAGAGATTTTCCCATTATTGGTGTTCTTACCGTCCTGTCTAAAACAAGAAGGGTGAAATCAAAAGCTGAAGAAGTAATGCATTATTACAGGTCACCACTGCTGTATAATCAAGGACTGTAGATATGCCTTTGTAGATGCATCACTAAAATCTATCTCTCCCACTATCTATCTCTCCCACCAACCATCTATCTCTCCCACCAACCATCTATCTCTCCCACCAACCATCTATCTCTCCCACCAACCATCTATCTCTCCCACCAACCATCTATCTCTCCCACCATCTATCTCTCCCACTATCTATCAAAAAGAAAAAAAGTATTGGGTCTCATGTAGCATGATGTGGACATAAGAAATCACAATCATCTGCTCAGCAACATGGTAAATAGTGTGGGGGTTTACCAATGTACTTTATGTATATATACTGCTTCTGAAATGGCATTTTCTTTAAAAGTGTTATTAACAAGTACTTTTCTTGGAATGGCACCTGGTTTATATCAAGATTTTATCACGAAGGACCTTATGAGTACATAGAATACCCTACATTAAACTGATATTGCAGGAAACACATCTGGTGCCCATATCTAGAATCTGTATTATGGATAATACAATAAAAATGCTTCTGGAGGACATAAAAATTGCAGAATATTAAAGCACATTCATTCTCTGCTCTAGAAATGTAACATATTATGTTTTTTTTTAACAGATCACTTCATAATGAGATTTTGTTTCTTTTTCTTTCTAGGATACAGTAAAGTCTAGAAACGTAATAAAGCTATTGTTTTCTAACTTTTTTCCCTTCAGTTGTGTTGTCTCTACTAAGTAATGTGGTTTTCCCCAATTCACAGATGAAGCCCCTACAATGCTTCCTGACAGAATATATAAAGATAAACGAGATACCAAATGCTAAATTAACACCAAAAGTCTGAACTTGTCTGATGTTCTACACTATGTCAACAGTTCCCATACAAGATAAACTAAGTAATCTACTATGTGAACCTACTTTATAAGTATCCTTAAAGGAGAACTATGAGATGAGTGATTTCCACTCACCTCATAGTTCTAGCCGACCTGTGACAATGAGACTGTCACAGGTCGGCTCAGTAGATCGGGAGGTGAGCGAACACATACCAGGTTCGCTCACCTCTCGATCCTGTCACGGCTCTACCACTATCTATCTCTCCCACCAACCATCTATCTCTCCCACCAACCATCTATCTCTCCCACCAACCATCTATCTCTCCCACCAACCATCTATCTCTCCCACCAACCATCTATCTCTCCCACCATCTATCTCTCCCACTATCTATCAAAAAGAAAAAAAGTATTGGGTCTCATGTAGCATGATGTGGACATAAGAAATCACAATCATCTGCTCAGCAACATGGTAAATAGTGTGGGGGTTTACCAATGTACTTTATGTATATATACTGCTTCTGAAATGGCATTTTCTTTAAAAGTGTTATTAACAAGTACTTTTCTTGGAATGGCACCTGGTTTATATCAAGATTTTATCACGAAGGACCTTATGAGTACATAGAATACCCTACATTAAACTGATATTGCAGGAAACACATCTGGTGCCCATATCTAGAATCTGTATTATGGATAATACAATAAAAATGCTTCTGGAGGACATAAAAATTGCAGAATATTAAAGCACATTCATTCTCTGCTCTAGAAATGTAACATATTATGTTTTTTTTTAACAGATCACTTCATAATGAGATTTTGTTTCTTTTTCTTTCTAGGATACAGTAAAGTCTAGAAACGTAATAAAGCTATTGTTTTCTAACTTTTTTCCCTTCAGTTGTGTTGTCTCTACTAAGTAATGTGGTTTTCCCCAATTCACAGATGAAGCCCCTACAATGCTTCCTGACAGAATATATAAAGATAAACGAGATACCAAATGCTAAATTAACACCAAAAGTCTGAACTTGTCTGATGTTCTACACTATGTCAACAGTTCCCATACAAGATAAACTAAGTAATCTACTATGTGAACCTACTTTATAAGTATCCTTAAAGGAGAACTATGAGATGAGTGATTTCCACTCACCTCATAGTTCTAGCCGACCTGTGACAATGAGACTGTCACAGGTCGGCTCAGTAGATCGGGAGGTGAGCGAACACATACCAGGTTCGCTCACCTCTCGATCCTGTCACGGCTCTCTGCCGTGACAGGGGGAGGCTGGATTCCCCTCTCCGATCTGCCAGCGCTGACTGGCGGAACGGACGGGGGAGGGGGCGGGTACAGCTGGCTCTGCCTCTAGATAGGCAGAGCCAGCTGTCACTCACGCAGCTGGGCGGATCCCTTCATCTACTGCGAGCTGTAGCTCGCGGTATACTGACCTTAGGGTAACGGGAGGACGCTAGTTTATGTCCTCCCGTTACCCTAAGGAGAACTATGGGGAAAAACACTGACCCCATAGTTCTCCTTTAACAACTACAGTACACTCTTCCTGAATTTATGGTGAGAGCTGTAGGTGAAGTTGGAACACCCTAAGTGGACAAGATATTTAAAACTCCAAGGGTGCAAGTATGGTTAGGAACTAGCTGGTAGTTGCCAAGAATTACCACTCACAAATGCGTGAGCTAGCTTGCCACATTTCCAGCCCAGAGGCCCAGGGTCTTGGGATTGGCCATGGTCTGAGGAAAGACAATTATTGCACTGTAACTGTGCTTTGTATATTTGAGTGCCTGTTAGTAACTTATCTGTCATTTTGTTAGAGTTGCATGAAGTCAATTCAACTATAGATTCATCTGGCAAGATAGAGTACAATGAATAAGAAAATACAAATATCTATGTCTATGTGTACTGTAGTTTATAAATTGCTCAGCATCAGAATGTCTAACCTTTTGAGCCCCTCTGGCATCTTTAAGGGTGGCAATAAGCTCTTCCAAGCCCTTCAGCTTTAGCCCTAGCTCTAAGGCGCGGGTCTCGGTATCCCTCCGTTCTTGCTGCACAAGCTGCATTTCATCAACAATCTTCATCTTGTCATTCTGCAGCTCCATCATTGTCTTGGAGAATTTCTCCTGTTGGGCTAATGGAAGTGCACCACTGAACTGCCTCCTCAGTGTTTGAACGGTGTGGCGAAGGTGCTTGGCTCTGTTCCTGCCTTCTAGACGGGCATAATATAATGCCTGCTCTTTATCATCAATCTTCTGTTCCAAGCGTAAACTGTAGGCTTCTAATTTACGCATTTTGGTAGTCGTTGCTTCCAACTTTGCAACGGCAGTTGCCTCACTGATTTGAAGAGCTACAATTTGCTGATGTAATTTTGCAACCAGTGCTTTCTCATCACTCTGATCCTAAAAAAAAAAAAAAAAAAAAAAAACAACATTTAAAAAGGTGACAAATATCACATCTCAGCTATGTGCAACGCTAGGTGGATTAGTGGGAACACAATACATATTACAAGTATAAAGACAGTCTACAGTTTCCTGATTTGCATTCTTAGCAACATAGATGAAAGCCTAAATCCTGGATGGCATTTCCAGGATAACCTCTAGTATTTGAAGTGGCTTACACAGTATATTGATCTCTACATCCTATACAATCCACCTCACATAGAATGATGAAAGTATGTTGAACAAATCTTTAGATCTCACATACAGGCTACACAAGATTGTTGGATGTCAATGATACTCTATATGGACACTGAGTAACAGGGTACTTTTAGCATCAAGCACCTCAGGACGCACAGGGTTATATTATTATACTGTACTCCTATGAAGTTATTCATGATATACAAATGTAATTCTGGAGATTGTTCCTCTACTGCACTCTACTAACCTAAATCTTTCAATGTTTCTACAACATGCTTTTCTGACGGAATGGATTCCACTCATGTGGACATATCAATATCTAAGTTGGCTGCCTAACATGTCTACATGTTTCCATCCCATGTGGATGGTGATAAGTAATTACGTGTCCTACACCTGGACAATCATCAGGAATGCACATTGGGCCAAACATGTTTTCTATCCATCATTGTTTTTTTATGTGGGGGGGGGGGTTCAAAAGAGGGAAATATATTTTCATGATATGGATTTTTGCACATATATGTGATTGGGGCATTTTTTTTTGTGGGGGGGGGGGTTCAAAAGGGAGAAATATATTTTCATGATATGGATTTTTGCACATATATGTGATTGGGGCTCTTTTGGTGACTTAATAAAATATTTATATTTTCTATAAAAATGTAAAGTTTATGGTTCTTTTTGACCATTGATTTAACAAAGGTGTTCCATTCGGACTCTTTAATTATGTTTATTAGTGGGAACCGTTTGGTCTTTAATAGTTTTGTCAGCAGTGCAAGAGTCTATTTGGAAAACAGTATATCAGATGTTTGTACATATACATTAAATTGTCCTACAAAAAGGATTTCTGAATCGCTGATCCAACAGCTTTGTGTTTTAAAGTTAAAGAATTTACCGACCATGAACAATATTTTGCACGTGTTGATTTAAGACAGCTGCTACAGCAAACACAACATAAACATCAGTCGTTTAACACATTTATCTGCATGAGCCAGGTAGAAGTAACAAGACATCTGAAGTGCTAACCTGGTAATCCAGAACTTGTTTCCGCAAAGACTCCACTTCCTTTTCTCTTGACTGCTGGCGGTTAACCAGTGCGGAGACTTGTGCTTTGGCAATATCAGAAAGGCTGCGTAATCTAATGAAAGAAAAAAAAAAAAAAAAAAGGACACATTTTATATACGCTATGAAACTAACAAAAAAATAAACTTTCTCACAAGAATGGATCCAAATTCAGTATGCCTGTATATTTTATTTAATTTTAAGCGTCATTGCTATACAACAGTGTTTTGTCAAGAGCTCCAAAAACTTGAATGTTAATATCTTCCATGTTTTATAATAATCAACATAGTTTGTTTTATCTAGTAGAGCATCTGAGCTCCAAAATCTGGGTACAAACAATGACTCTCCAGCTTGCAGGAGCGTGACAGAGTCTGGACATCCAAACTGGGTGATGCCATATTCAGAGCTTGGAGTTCAGGGACTCCTGGGTGCCCAGAAAGATAAAATAAGGCATGTGCAGGCACCTCTATGTGCCTGTTTTTTTATGTTTTGGATGATGTTATCAAAGTGACAAAGCTTTGCATACTGTATTGTTTTGGCAATGAAAACTTCTTAAAATGTAATGACGGGGACAAAAAAAAGATTCAATGCAAACGCAAATGCTGCATACTCTAGTGAGAATGAATAAAAAAATGAAATAAAAGTGATTATTGTGCATGGGTTAGATTAAACTGCCTGAAACATGATAGCATAAGCACAAAGTACCAAACTGTTAAACAATATGCATAATGTCTACCATTTATTTACTTCTATGACAATTACAAGAATACTTGTATGGAGAATCTCTAACAGTATTCTAAAAATGCTGGCAGAAATAGCTGAATGATTTCTGTTATTTTTATGTCATTATTGCCCACTGCTAAGAACACATAGAATTAACTTTCATTATTAGAACTGTGTTTCTCAACCTTTTTCATTCATGACAGCTTTTGAAAGTATGCAATCTTGAGGCACCCCAGTCTAATGTAATGTAAAAAAACGTAAATGTAAAATTGGACAGGTGGCCTTGCCAAAATCTATACCAGACCCTTATCGGAAATCGGGGTGCATTACTCACACTGTGGGAAAATGTCAAAGCACCCCTGAGGAAGCCAGAAGACACCCTGGCTGAGAAAGGATGCATTAGAAGACCCATTATGTACCCTTATCCATCCAGTAATATAGCTTTACCAGCTATAAAAAAAAATGCTTAAGTAACCATAAACGGGAAGTAAAATGGGGACACTACAATCATGTTTGAGTTTTATCAAAAGTTACCCAACATTATAATTACATATGCGTTTTGTGCCACATTTACTTGCGTTTATCTCTTAGCAGAGTTCTTTACCTTCATATGTCCCCGTTTTATTTAATGTTACCCTTGTCCCATTTGATGATAATGAAAATAAACACACACTTACTTGGAGGCCTCCACCTTGAGTTCTGTTTCACTCTTCTCTAGCTCTAGTATTCTCCTCCGATCTGCTTCATACACTGCTTTACTCACACTGTTAGCAAGATCGTCTCTCAATGCTTGCTCCACTTTTTGTGCCTCAAGATTAATTTTAGTAAGCTAAAAAAACAAAAATAGTAATAAATATATAATATAATATGATATATAATATTATATATAAATATAAACCTTTCACCATTCCTTGGCTTTAATATCCTCCAATTGATTCCTGTGTCCCTGTAGCAGTGACTTAAATTCCTAGGCTCAGGCTTACACTGGAGTTGGGTAGCTCTCCAAGTCAAGATAAAAGCCAATGTCCAGTTTCATGTTTCTTAAAACGAATTCACCTCCACTTTCTCCCTAACTTCAGTATAAATAAAGGTTTGCCCAGCTATGCCCATGATTTCCACGCCCCAACACTGCCTTCGCAGTCCTCCTCTGTGGACATCTACTTGGCTGCATGACACACAGAGTCGTTTAACCAACTTCCTGTGAGCCCAGGGCATCATGGTTACGCATGCTGTAGGTGTGTCATCAAACTAGCCTGGTAATACAAATACGAGGAAGAATAAGAGATGCTGTGATCTCTGATTGTAAACACCCCTGTGGTTGCAATATGGGTTTTTTTCTGTGGGGCCCGACTGCTTTGTAGTGCCTGCACTTCCACCTACAGGGACCCCACAGAGGGAAAGAGGGGGCGTCCCCATCAAACCAGCCTGGACTCGCAGGAAAATGTTGCAGGGAACGTCAATACAATAAATCTATTCTCTCCACATTCATCATCCAACACTGAAGGACGAAGAGGAAGATGTCCCTGTGAGTTATAAAAATAACTGCCGAATTGGTTTAGTTTTCATCCTAGCACTTATGTGTTGTACTTAGCTGCCCCACTAATTCATTAACCATAGTTGTCCATATCCTTACCTTTTGAGAAGGTCTTTAGTGTAAGCCTACGTCTTTGCAAATGCACAACTCTGTGTTCAGTGGCTGACTACACTCTTTACAGAGTGTATGCACATACACACACAGTGGGGCACAGGTGATAGGTTCCATAACATGTAAAAAGCTTCTACAGTCCTGTCCAGAAGCAGTCCAAGAAGCTTAAAACAACTGGTTACACTCAACTGAAGCCTTTTTTGGGCAGCATTATTGGTAAATTGATTATCTTTAATAGCTCAGTGTAGTTGAGCATAAATTTATATTACATTGCTTATGAATAATTATTATAGTATTACCTTGGCTCTCTATACGCTTCTCTACCCTTCCCTCTTTATCTCCCCTTCCCTACCCTCTTTATCTCCCCCTATGATCCTTTCTTTGTTCCTGTTTGTCCTTCAAATATATCTTCTTAAGATGACAATGGTGAGGTATCAATGATATGCTAGACCATGAACGCAAGAAGGTCTATATAACATGTGTTTGGATAGCTCATAACTTATAATTTTCATATCTGTATTGTACCATTCTTGGAAAACTTTATTTTTCTCAATAAAAAAATGATTGAATGTAAATATTATAGTATTACAAAAATTTTCTTCATCATACAATAATACAGAATACCATATATTTTATTTGCTTGTTCCTTTTTTGATGAGACCATTATAATATATATCAAGTGCAAATCAAAAAGCAGTATGTCTTCCACTGATATGAATTGGCAAAATAAATCAAATGGAAGAATGAAAATGCCTGTGGTGCCAACAACTACTAATGTAAACCAAGCTTTTACTTTCTAACGTGCAGCAGAAAGACTACACTTAGTTAGATGGTTATTGACCCCTTTACTTCTTTTGTTTATAATAAGCCCTGAAAAGTCAACTATTAACAGTGTACTTGAGTATTTACCCAAATTTAGTTTAGGCATCCACACTAATACAGTCAAGTTGTGCCTTTAATAACAATGACACAGATATGAAAAGAAAATATGTTTCCCCACATTCACTGTATGTTGCTTAACACATTAAAAATAAAAGTCATGTTCCCAACTCAGAAATAATGCCAGAATAATTTTTACCTCAGCAAACTTGGACTCTAGTTCAAAGTTACGTTCCTCCACTTGTTTTAAGGTAGTCCTCAAGTGCTCATACATCTTCTGGGAATGCTCTGCTCTTTGTCTTTCATTTAGCTCTTTAATTTCCAGCATTGTGATTTTTTTGGAAATTGACACTATTTCATTATTGGTAATTGCTTTGGTAGCTTTGTCCATTGTGGAATTACCTCCTATTGGAAAACAATAAGATTGCATTCTTTTGTGTATCTATATCTGCCACAGTAGGTTTTTTTTTCTTTCACAATCAAGAATCTTTCAAAAGACAACTATTACAATAAAATATGGGATACAATTTCCAAATCTGACACATGAGCTTATTCTGTTTTTTCCATCCATAGTTTCCTCTCTGTTTTTGGTACTTTTACATAAGCAGTATGAAGTTTTGAATTATAAAAGTCACTTTAACAAACAAATGTGCACTGAATAAAAGGTGTTGTTAAAATGGCATAGCCAAGGAAATAATAACCTTTTCTGGACAAAATTCAATTTCAGGCTCTCTCCAGTTACTATCAGCCAATCTAAACTTTTTTTATCGGAGATCATGTGACCAAATATCTCAGAGTTTGGCCACATAACAAGCACTGGTAAGAAATGGAAGCAAACATTTACCACAAAAGGTAAGTATTTCAGCCCTATTGCACTTTACTAATGAAACAAAATTGTTTGGTAGGGGTTATTGTTGTGATATAGGCAGTGTCCTTCTTAGTACACTGCTTTACATAACTGTCATTTACTGGCCTCATTTCCTTCCTTTTTCAATATCAGCAACGATCAAATCTAACAAACATACGACACTGAGGAGAATTGATAAAAACTGGAGCAGACAAATCTGAAGCAGCTGTACATGGCAACCAATCAGCGCCTCTCTTTCATTTTAAATGATTTTTCAAACAAACTAAATAGAGAGGCAGATTGGAGAAGATAAAATCTGGAGCATGGAAACCAATTTTGATAAATTCCCCCCACTATAGTTTGTATATTTAAAAGAAATTCTAATATACAGAATCAAAATTATTTATAATACATGCATGTATTATATACTAAAGTTATATTAATTAGTTTCATGGAAAAATTACTCAAACCCAAGATTAAATTTCAGTTTATTTTCCTGGAGGACAAAGTCCTAATATAAAACAGTACATAAGCTACAGTACATAGCTCTATCAGGTGGTCAATAATAAGGATCTAACACAGGGATGGGCAACTCCGTCCCTCCAGCTGTTGTCAAACAGACTGACAGTTACAGGTATGACTCCCAGAGGCAGAGGCATGTTGGGATCTGTAGGTAAAGTATAGCTGGAGGGTGGGAGTTGCCCACCCCTAATCTAGCAAGACCTCAACAAGTTCAAAAAGTAAACAGATATATGTAAAGAATGTAGTTAAGGTACTTTATTACCAGAGGACAAACAGTAGTGAAGTGCATAACAGAGAAATACTTTACTGTAATATCTTACAGTAGTTATAATAGTTATTTGTGACTGGCTGCTTATGGTTACCTGCATACTGCTGTCCACCTTATAAACGAAGGCCAATATGCATGAAACATATACAGAAAACTGCTGTACATACCCAGTGTGCCTATGTGTTCCCAGGCTTGCTCAAACGTGTTCAGTTTCTCTTTAGTGATTTCCAGTTCTCTTATGTAGAAAGTGATTTGCGATTTTAGGGATGTATTTTCATGCTGTTGAAAGGAACAATGAGGTTAAACAATTTTCCTTTTTGCATGGACACCAAAACTGTATACAGTTTATTTACCATGAGTAAAAATAGGATTTATGCACCAAACGAAAAATCCTCCTTGGAATCGATTGAGGGACACAGGAAGTCATGTTCTCTCCGATTGTTGCCTACAGGAGGATTGGACACTGGCAAACAATAATATGTAGCCCAGCTCAGGATCATTCCTTCTCTTCCCAGCATGCATTATTTGGTAGCCAGCTGTACCAAGAGCATAAATATAAAACACAGAGAAGTAGGACAGAACTAGGGACTGCTTGTAAATAGCAGGTGTAGTGGGAAAAGTCCTAGCAGCTGTAGGGATTCTGTAAGACCCAAGGCTGGAGACAGCAAGCCGATCGTCCAGATGAAGGGTTGTACATATCATATCAATATGGGGAAAAGGAATGCAGGGGAAAGCATGGGAGCGTACTTGAAGCCTCTACAGTCAGTATCCATGAGATATTAGGTGAATTTGGTCGCACTACAGCTGCCACGTTCCCGCACGTAAGGTCGGAGAGCTGGTCGTAAGTGCGTGTGGTCGCAAAACAGGTATGTCGTAAAAAGCGAGGAATGTCTGTATTGACCAGAGTTTCAAAATATACCGCCCCCAGATTTACATCAACTAACATAATACTGGTCTGAATACTATTATTATTTTTACATGGGTGGATGCACAACTTACCTCCAGATGCTCTAGATTTGCTGTCCTCTGTACAAGCAAATTATCCTTCTGCAGCATATCCCTATATTTGGCAGTTAGCTCATTGTACTGTTTATTGGCTGTTTCCAACTCCGAAAAAGGTACACTGTCATCCAGGGCTTTTTGTAAAGCTCCCATTTTGAAAGCTGCAATTTCCTGTTGAAGAAAAAAAAAAAAGAAATGTTTAAAATATGAACTCTTTAATAAACAAGAACAGCAAGTGGTGGCCGCTGATGGATACAGTGCGCGGCAAGGGACAGCCGAGCACACACCAGCGGCTTTTATGTGGGTTTAGGCTCTGAGGAACGTGCGGAATTGGGGTGCCATTCGTCCTTTCCCCCTGCTGCTTTGGGAATCCTTTTCACCATTGGAAGTCAGGTACTCTATGGAATTTGTTTTATTAGGTGGTCTTAGCTGGCACATTAAGACAAGAATAATCTAGCACTGTGTGACCATATGAGCTCTTGGTATACTTGATACCGTTATTTTAACATAATGGGCAGATCGTACGTTTTTTAAAGTACTTTACAACCCTCGCAAGACAAAAGTCTTGAGGGTTGTAAAGTGTATGGGCACCTTAAAGCTTCTTCAACTGGGCCTTTAGCCATCACCCACAAAATGTACATTAAGGGAGTTAGCTTGGAAAGAACTCGGGTCAATAACATCAACTGCAAAGATACTCCATATAGACTTGACCCCCACAAACCTCAAGGGAGGCTGAGAGAAATAGTGGCACGGTTAAGGTTAAATTAGGGTTTTAGGTTAGCCAAGAGAGATCTAGTAAATAACATCTCTCTTCTAACACTTTAAAAGAGGTTCATGCAGCTCCATTTATATTAGAAAGTTGACACAAGGGCATTACCACACATCTACTCTATAGGATTAGCAAAGGGCCTAAAAATGGGGTACACTGGGAGTGAATATCAGCCAATTCAGCAGGAATCGTCCAACATTCACTCTGTGTGTACCCTATTCCATCGGCAGAAGTTGATCATTACATCGACTTTTGCCAAAGGAACATGTTGAAAAATCTTCGGCTGAATGGTGCTTGCAGCACCAATGCAATGCTCACAGCGGGAGATTCATCCATCCACAGTGTCCAGCGCGGATGGAGGAATCTGTTATATCTTCTGTGTTCAGCCCGTAGGTTGGAGGAACCTACGGGTGTTCCTGTTGGTGGATGTGCTTATCTCTCATGTGCTGTCCTGGAAGATGATTTGGGAACATTGTGCTGTTAAATGAGTGCATCAAACATTTGACATTGCTAGATGAAATAATGGTATTTAAAAAAGGTGAATTACATTTCATCAGAAAAAGCAGCGTACCACATGGATTATCTCCATACCTTATACCTTTGCAGGTACCCTATTCTTTCCCCTACTGTAGCCTCCATGTCGGATATTTCATTCCTAAGTTTGTCATTTTCTTTCCGCAGGTGCTGTTCCATTTCCATTAAAGTTGTGTATCGCCTGGTTAGTGACTTTTCATTTACTCGCAATACAGTCATCTTTCTGAAATTTTCAGCCAGCTGTTTTTTTATTTCATCCGGACCCATTTTTAACGATTCTAACAATTTCTGTTGTGGAACGAGCAAGAAAGCAAAATTATTACACATATAAGCAGCAATTATAAATAGTTTCCTCCAAAACGCCTGTATGTACTACTGTCAAAATATACAAATCTGTGTATGCACTAAGTGGGCTCTAGTCTCACCGCAAATCTTGATAAGTTGCAAAAGTGGCAAGCCGTACACTTTCTTCAGTCTGTTATTGCTGTTCCACCCTTCAGTGGGACAAGAAAAAAAAACCCTGCACAAACTGCAGAAGAACAACAGTTTGGAGCGTCACCTCTCTTTCTTTCTAAAGAAAGTTTAAAGTGCAAGGACACTCAAAACTCCTGTTCTTCTATTTGTATTGTGAAGTTAGTTTTTTTTCTCCTTGTCCCACTGTGCAGCATGACACAATCTCTTATATATCTATATATATATATTAATTTCAAAAATGGGGTGAGCTGCAATGACAAAGTAGTATGAGTAATATCAACGAAAAGGAAGCTGCACAAACAAATGTAAAATCTAAATGGATGTATTTTTCCGCAACACACACACACACCACTTACTTTCCTCTTTGCAAGCCCTGTGATTACCTCAATCTCTATGTAAATGTGTATTATAACTTGAGAGAAGGCTACTTTAATGTGAGGCTGTAAGTATCAGCTCCCTTTCCTTACTGACAAAACATGCGGGTTATAGATATACACACTTGCACAAACACTTATGCAAATAAATACTGCCAGCAAATTACAGACGCCTCTTAGTTTGTACAAAACAGAACAGGGAAGTAAATAATGGTCATTATCTGTACAAATTAACCTAATTTGGAACCTGGCTATAAGCCACTTACAGTGAACTTTACCTTTAAAAGTAGGCTTGTCCAGACACCTGCAGAAAAATTACAAGGAATCCTATGATCACCAAAACCAAGCCTCTTGATGTCTTCTTTCAATTCCTACTCGCAAGTGAGGCCATCAATTGCATTTGGTGGCCAACAGAGGCACATGCCACATGTCAGAGGAGGACCATACCAATTCTGGTAACCATTTGCACATCAGACCAACCCAGGTTTTGGGGATCCTTGAGTGTTCTGGAAGAAATCTGCAGATGCCTGCGAGGAACTTCAAGTGTCTGCTTGAAGGAAGGAAGCCACCAACCAAGGTAAAGTGAACAGGACATATGTTCTTACCATATATTCTTTTATTTGCACTGCATCCTGTTCTTTCTGACTTTCCAATTTTGAATTTTCTTCTTTAAGCTTCTCTACTTCCTTGTGCCATGTTTCTCTCTCACTACATTCGTAATAAATAGACATGGGAGACATTGTTATTATTTTGTGATAATATACACCTTCAATAAAAAGCCTGTCAAGTAATACAGTTTAAGCAATACAATTCACCCTCCACAGCAGTAAGTCTGAAGACCTGTCTATTTTTCAGTGACTTTTTGTTTGTCTGGCATAGTCTCTACCCAGCACTGTCAGTCTAAATGATAGTTTAGGTTTGATATGAGTAACATAGCTACAAAGCAGTACATACTCATCTTTCCTTGCTCTCACACTGCTTTGTTCGGTTGTCAAGACCAGGGAACGAAAGCCCTGTGTAAGCTATATAAAACTTGCAGAAACTCACACAGGGCTGTAGACTTATTTGCCCATGTCATTATCACTCATGTGGCAGTGCTGGACCATTTACGAGACAGAGTGCTGTTACAAGCTCACCCATAGTCAAAAGATCTGCATATGCCACTTCACTCCCTGCAGGCGGAGCAGAGAAGCCCAGAGAGTGAGGAAAAGGGATTACTTACAGCTGGGGAGGTTAGCAAGTAAATGACCCTTTTGCATGGTCCTGCATGGGCAAAGAAAATGATCACTTTAAGATCAGCATAAACAAACAAAAACAGAATGAGTAGTCTATAATAAAAGTAGTTCTCCAGGATTTAGGTGTTTTTAAAATGTTTCTCAAGTCAACAAATCTGCTGAACATCTATAGATGGATACCAGTTTTGCAGTTAGCAGATGTAATGTGCAGCAAGGAACATAGTGCAGTTTTGAGGCCTCAGTCATGTATGGGTGGCAGTGAGAAATGGCCTCTAAGCACTATAAACTACACTATATTGCCAAAAGAATTGGGATGACTGCCTTTACACGCACATATACTTTGATAACATCCCAGTCTTAGTCCGTAGGGTTCAATGTTGAGTTGGCCAAAACCTTTGCCCCTATAACAGCTTCAATCTTCTGGGAAGGCTGTCCACAAGGTTTAGGAGTGTGTCTATGGGAATGTTTGACCATTCTTCCAGAAGCGTATTTGTGAGGTCAGGTACTGATGTTGGATGAGAAGGCCTGGCTCGCAGTCTCCGCTCTAATTCATCCCAAAGGTGTTCTATCGGGTTGAGGTCAGGACTCTGTGCAGGCCAGTCAAGTTCCTCCACCCCAAATGTGTTCATCCATGTCTTTATGGACCTTACTTTGTGCACTGGTGTGCAGTCATGTTGGAACAGGAAGTGGCCATCCCCAAACTGTTCCCACAAAGTTGGGAGCATGAAATTGTCCAAAATGTCTTGGTATGCTGATGCCTTAAGAGTTCCTTTCACCGGAACTGAGGGGCCAAGCCCAACTCCTGAAAAACAACCCCACACCATAATCCCCCCTCCACCAAGCTTTTACATTTGGCACAAAGCAGTCAGGCAAGTACCGTTCTCCTGGCAACCGCCAAACCCCGACACGTCCATCAGATTGCCAGACAGAGAAACGTGATTGGTCACTCAAGAGAACACGTCTCCACTAGATTCCAGTGGCGTTGTGCTTTACACCACTGCATCCAACGCTTTGCATTGCACTTAGTGATGCAAGACTTGGATGCAGCTGCTCAGCCATGGAAACCCATTCATGAAGCTCTCTACACACGGTTGTTGTGCCAATCTGAAGGCCACATGAAGTTTGGAGGTCTGTAGCTATTGGCTCTGCAGACAGTCGGCGACTTCTGTGCACTGTACGCTTCAGCATGCGCTGATCCCGCTGTCATTTTACATGGCCTACCACTTCATGGCTAAGTTGCTGTTGTTCCCAGTTGCTTCCACTTTGTTATTATACCACTAACAGTTGACCGTGGAATATTTAGTAGCAAGGAAATTTCACAGATGGACTTATTGCACAGGTGGCAACCTATCACGGTACCACGCTTCAATTCACTGAGCTCCTGAGAGCGACCAATTCTTTCTCAAATGTTTGTAGAAGCGGTCTGCATGCCTAGGGGCTTGATTTTATACACCTGTGGCCATGGAGTTGATTGGAACACCTGAATCCAATGATTTGGAGGGGCGTCCCAATACTTTTGGCAATATAGTGTATGTGCAAATCTGAATGAATATCATCATAGGTTTTATCAGGTGATTTAATCTAAAATGTGTTATGAGACACCTATTGCCTCCAGTAATTTTCCTATAGGTGTAGTATAGAATATAAATAAAAAAGGTTTCATGTATACCTCTGACACTCTTTATAGATGAGCCCCTGCTGATGTCGTATCACAGCAATTTTCCTCTTGTATTCCTCTAATGCTTCTTCTAACTTAAATACTGATTGTTCTTTGGAGTCTATGTCCTAAACAACACAAGAACAGTAAAACTGACATTATCATCTGTTCCCGGCCATCTAAAACATTTTAATTTGGCATATAAATAACAATCATTTTAAAAAGAAACATTTGCAATACGCTTTTTTTCTTTTCTTTATAAATAACAAAATCACCCAGAAACATATGTTACATTGTTAATTAAATGTAATCATCACCAAAGAATGGAGCTTGGTAGTGCAGCAGCTTAATGATCATATAGTTGAACAAGTTGCCACCAGATCTCTCCGTAGCATAATATAAAATCTACTCTGGACAAAGCTATTTTAATTAAATATCAACAATGCCCAGAAGCTCCAGGCATTATGCCGTTTTCTGCTATAGACATGGAGATGTAAAAAAGTTACCAATCTTCTAATTTTTCTGGGGTTTTTTTTGCAACAAAAATACATATGGATTTGCATTTCAATACTCGTTTTTCGTTCAGAGAGTTGATGAGGTTGGTGATGAAATAGTCTGTTAAACAACAATATGACCTTATTTCACATATTATAGATTCATATTTAGGTGAATCTGTCAGAGAGAACATTAGATGTTATCAAGTTTAAAGTACATAGTCTTTGAGGAGCTTTTCACATATTTGCAGCAGACTACAACTCCAAATGGCTATACCCAAATCTTAAGCCATTCTGTCTGGCAGATTCTGCGATATACCCTGGTTGTGTCTGCCTCCTGCACATTCCTATTGGCCAGTGAAGTAGCCCATCATACTGATGGACCAACATAAATGTAAGGCAGATGGGAGGAAGTGGGCAAACTTTGACACTACTAGTATGTTTTGAAGCTTTACCTTTTAGAAGGGTCCAGGATTTGAGTGCAGCAGCTAGAACTTTAAAGATGCTAAATATATAGGAAGGCATTTTTTTAGCTGCCTATAATTTCTACCTGATAACATAATTGTTTCAAATAAATGGACTTTGAATTTAACAGGTGAGCAATAAATAAAAACAACCTGATATATTAGATGTAAGTGAAATGAGAATAGCTACAAAATCACATGGGCAGCGCCAGTATTTAGCAGGCTCTGTTCTGTCCACACTATTAGCACTCTCCTGGCAGTCATCAAGCAACTAAAGTCAACTGAACAGCAGAGGCCAAGGTGAATAATGTATATCATTACACTTCTTGTTAAACTGGCCATACACTCAAGTATTTTACGAATGCTCATAAGAAAAATCTCGCCGGGACGTTCTATAATGCCATCAGAGACTTGACGAATGTCATCTGAAATTTAATTAGGTTTTAACCTTTGATTTTGGAATAAATAGAGTTGCTTGAACAAAAAACACATTCACTTTCAGAATTGTGTTTGCTTGAGAAATATTTTCCTTCCTGCTCCTTCAATTAATTTATGTTTCTACCGTTGAACATGATTAGCAATTTTACTCCATTAATTATTAGAAAATTGAGTGAACATTCTGAAAACAAATTTTTCTGAATGAAAGTCTACTGGTATATGGCCAGCTTTATCTGGTGGTTTGGGAGCACTTGAAAGGAGTGCCGAGCTCTCCATATTGACACCCATATGTACTTACCTTGAGCCTGTTTACATTGTGATTTGCTGTATGCGGTGTGCATTGCTAGCAAAGCACACTAAAATGTAGCATAGGAAACAGTGGTATTCAAATGCTAAATATATTGGTGCATCCAACTGTTCATCCATGCACTTACAGTTGTCTGACAATACTTTGGGATCTCATAGAAAGGGCACTTTACCATGAAATCTGTTTACTCTAAAGACTGATTGCTAGAAACACAAGAACATACCTGTAACAAGTGCAAGAGGTATTCGTTCAGAGAGTTGATGAGGTTGGTGCTGGAAGGAGACATTCCATCGGGAAGATTTATTGCCCTAAACACTATGTTCGCTCCTTCGGATTGGCGCAGTAGAAGAATTTCATTCTCTAGGTGTGAAATCTAGCAAACGAGGGAAAACATCTCAAGTAAAAATTTTTGTTAGAACAAACATACATTTATAAACCACTATAATGAGCTTGAGCTCAGAAACAATGTTTGGATTTGCATTATGGAAAGAAACATTTGAATAAAGATTTATTATAAACAAAACGAGCAGAGTGGTTCAATTAGAACTATATAGCTCTGTAAACAGAGTGTGTCATCAAATCAGTTAAGATAAGCCTGGCAAAAAAAAAGAAAACCCTGAGCGCCACCTGTTGCTTGGAAAAATGGATATTAAATATTTGCAAGCAAAGAAACTGAATTAAAAAAAAAAACATACAATTTTATTCTTTAGTCTTGATCATGATAAGAAAATACATTTACATAAACACTATACATTCCTTTAAATTAAGCTGGTGAATGGATATCAGTCAGTATAAAAATACACACTATAATTCACACACATACACAGCATACCTTTTCATTTGCTTTTGCCAGCAGGTTTGATGAATTTGCAGCCTCCCTTCTGGATCCCTTGAGTTCCTCTCTTAACTCCTCATTTCTTCCAGTGAGTTGATCCACCTGGGCTTTCAGATGGACACTGGCATCAAATATGCCACTGGTATTCTTCATCTCAAAAGCCTGAAAAAGAAGTCTACGGTCAACCTTATTAAAAGCAGCAATTTGTCCACATGTCAATACATCCCACAGAAATGAATCATGGGATTTAGCCACGTTAGTTGTATCTGAATAGGACAACACACCAGCTTTAACTGCACTGTTGCAATTATGCCCCCATACCCCCATAATAAGTTCTACTAATAAAAATACTTGTTATAATGTAAACGGTAAATGCTCCATATCTGATGTCCTTTTTAATTTTGTGTACCTTTACAGTGTAGCCAAATATAGAGGACAGTTAAACATTTGGTAAATTGAATGACTTTAAAAAGCTGTTAAACAAAAACCTATTATCTTACCTTACATTAAATTATTTATAAAGTGACTCTAAACTCAACAGTTCAATCTTAGACATGCATTCAAATACCCTAATAACAAAAATGTGTCTTATTTGTGCATCACTCAGCTCTAGATCCTCAAATCATCTCTGAATTCACGCTGATACTGTCCTTCCTTCTGGAAGGTGGATACCTTTGTTCCCTATGGTCCCTGTGTGTGTTGTAAAGTAGCCACACCCTCCAAGCTTGCTCCTGTGATGGACTACAATGTCTATACCAATTAGTAAACTAAACATGAGATTGTAGTCCATCACAAGAGTGAACTTGTAACAATGGCTACTTTACAACACACATAGGGACCATGGGGGCCAAAAGTAGCCACTCTCCAGAAGGAAGGACAGTATCAGCATGAATTCAGAGATGATTTGAGAATCTACAGCCGCGTGATACATAAAAAAAGATACATTTTTGTTAATAGTTAAGGTACTTGAATGTATTTTTATACTTTAACTGCTGATTTTAGTTTCACTTTAAATTATTCCAGGACATATCATTTTCTTAACAATTAAAGGGAGACAAACTTACTGAATCCCACGTAAGTAAACTACTGTATTTCCAAAGGATGTCTAGACCTCCCTTTTTTCTCTTTTAAGCTTTATTGGGAGGGAGCCCACTTCTCCTTAAAAGGTGCAGGGATGCACTGGAGGCCCAGCAATCCAAAATGCATGCTGGGGCCCCCCCCAGCCCTTCCATGTGCACCTTGCTACAAAGGCTAGTTATAAATTGTGCGGTTGCCATTTACCTTGGCTGTATTTGGTGCCTCCAGGGTGCCTTTAAAGAGGAGTTGGCTCCATATTGGAGCATACTGCTTAAGTATGCTCCAATATGGAGGCTCTAAAAAAATTGAGTTAGGATCACATTACATAAAAGAAAGAGCCTTGACAAGGCAGTGTGGCTTCCACATATTTTGCAAAAGTTGTGCAACTAAAACCTCTGCTTTTAACGAATATTGTTAGACAGTGTAATTCGTTTTGTTGCAGGCTAACCAGTAAGTGTGCTGGGAATTTTCTGTGTTTTGTATACTTTATTTCAAGCCAAAATTTGTGCAAAGCTACACCATACAAGAGAACAACTGTATAGCATTTTCTGGTTGTACTCACATGGACCAGTCGTTCTAGAGTAGGAATAATTAGAGTTGTTTCACCTCCTTTAATGCTGGAATCTTTCTGAGAGTCTTTAATGGCTTGTAGGACTTCTCCCATTGCTTTATGGAGTTGCTTGTTTTCTTCAGACAGCTCTTTTACTGAACAGTAAACAGAATAATGACTTGTGACTCAATATGTTTGTCACTTAGCATACAGTAGCAAAAAAGAAATGTCAAATAGAAGTTGCATTTAAAAATAATTGGCCCTTTTTTATTCTACATCTTACATTAAGATGTTCATATCTCCTACTACAATAGATAGAAGTATTTTCTAATCTGCCAAAACCTGTTCCTTGTTCGTGTTGAGTGGGATAAGGAAACCCTTGATTTTATTAAAGAATCTTATTTCAAGTAGCTCTGTACTCACCTACAAAAAGCTCTTACACGTTAATGTTTTTATCAGAAGTTGTTTTAATCCCAGTTTGTTGCATTTTTTTTCACACGTGTTAAAATTTACATTTTAGGTCTAGAGATTAACTTAAACCCCCCACTAGAATTATACATTTCCTGAAAGCTGAGACCCTGTAGTATAGAATGTTGACTCTATTTTTGGTAAAATATAAAAGATGACGTTGCGCCGAGTAAATATATACCAAACCTGTTGAGTTGCAACATTTTGTGTGGCCGTTAAGTGGCAAAAAGCTATGGTACCCAAATTTGTCTACAGGTGATGCTTTCAAATTGTTTACAGGTCATCAATTTAGAGCTATCCATGAATATTGGCAATAGAATTATTGCTATAATTTCGGGGCTATGTTGTGCGTTTTTGCGGGGCTATGTAAACACTATGTAGCACTTTAGGGGTGACAGTTTTTTTTTTTTTAAGAAGACATTAAGGGTCCCCCCTAATGTCACTATTGCACATCAATTAAGCTGATCAAGCACAGTTCATGCTTGTCTGTCGCTCCACAATTCAGCCCATGGTTTGAACCTATTCATAAATTGCTGGTTATCACTTGTAGGAGACGTGTGTGTACATTTGTCACTATATATACACACATAAACAGTATATATACTGTATTTAAAATAAAAATATACTTACATTTGGATTTTAATTCAACAACAACTGTCCGGCTTCTTTCCAGATCTCTGTCTTTGGTGTTCAATTCCTTTGACAAAAGTTCATTCTAAAAACAAAAATACAAATAAAGAAAAAAAAAAAAAAAAACTTACTGGAGAACTGGATTCCTCCAACAAGGTGCAACTGAACCTAGCTAGAAGGTCTTAGGCTCACCAAACACATCACAAGCTGCCAATACAATTCCTGTACAATCAACTTTAGATTTATCAAAACTCTGTAATATGAGGAACTATATAAACTATTCAATCAATTTGAATTCAATCAAGCAGAGCCTTGCACTGCATACTTGTTGGTAGATCTAAAGGAGATTGTAAAATCAGACTGTAATGCATCTGCTGAGCCTTAGGCTTGCAATACATGGTACAATGTGACTGTATAATCTCTTTCAGATTTATAAAAACTTGCTTTTTTTTAACAGACCCTTGTACTACATAGTAGTTGGTAGATCTTGAGCTTAACAGCATATGGATTTGTTGTTTCTGAAATTTTTTATTTCCCTTCACATTTAATTATTACCCCAACTTGGATCATTTGTTAGTTTAAAAGATATCCCACAATCTGGCATTCTCTGCAATTAGACCAGAATAATGCAAACACTGCAAATTGTGGGCAATTGAAATTAAGCAGGAATCAGACACAAAATGTGATCTGTGTATTGCCAGCTATAGAAGGCAACTGAATGTAGAGGTGCCTTAATAAAACCTTTGATTTTCTGGGCACTCTCTATATTGCTTTTGTTTTGGTAAGTTTCACAGCATTTTTCAGGTTTTATGATCACATAATAGGAGTCCTTTTTTTAATTTTTACATGGCTTTATTTAAATTTTCAAGACCAGGCAGTCTTCTAATTGATCAAGCTATCATCTAACTAGGGCTGCAACCAACTAATCGATAATCACACTGGAACACACGGTACCGCAATGCCATGTGTTCCAGTGCAGTGCGATTGCAAGAAATGATGCATGCAGTTTTATTCTGAAGTAAACTTTATGTTTGCAACATTGCATTTGTGCATTTTATTTTAAATTAAGGCATTTAATTTTTTTTATCAGACTGAGCGAAAATATAATCGAATATGAAAATAATCATTAGTTGCAGCCCTACATCTAACATCTTTCATACTTGCTCTGCTGTTAAAAGATTAGTCATGGTGTCTGTCACGTGACCATTGCTCTTAAATAGGGTTTACCTAGCTAAGTTTTTTAAATACAATGTAGGTCAGATAGGTAACTATTTAACCCCTTCATGACTGAGGCCTTTTTTTCATTTATTGCACCCATGTTATATTCCACATTTTAGGCCTGAAAATTACTTAAAACCCCCCAACATTATATATTTTCTGAATGCCAAGACCCAGTAGAATAAAATGGAGGTAGTTGCAAATTTTTATGTTGCGCAATATTAGCGCAACTCCTTATTAAACCCCCAAATTTAGTGATAACTTTAATTAAATGCCCCAAAACACAACCCAATACCAATTTTTTAAATGAAATATAAAAGATGAGGTTACAACGAGTAAAACGATACCCAACATTCCCAGTTTACAAATTGCGTGCGTCCGTGAAACGGCGAAAAACTGCAGTACCCCAAAAAGTCCACGGAAGACACTTTAACCCTTTCGCTGCCAAGGACGTATGGCATA